GTGTTGGCGTTATTTCGAGAAAGAATAAGAACAGAAGTTTTTTAACGCTAATGAAGTGGTGAAAGTGGTCCGTGACAATTTATTCATATGTATTGACTGTTATAATGTAAATATTCATCACAGCCAAATAGATTTTTTTTTGCAAATGTGTTTGTAAGATATGTATGTTATTGCCGTTCTTATATGTATGTGTGGGATAACAGTAATAAATAGTATATGGATTTTCCGGAAAACCCTCGTATATCGTGTGGTAAAATAAGAAAGATTACAATGCAAACATTTGGTCAAAATGGCTGAGAAATAACATGATATCGAAGATTATGTTTTCATCAGAAATGATTTATGTTATCATGAACATTAAATAAGTTCGAAAAGTTAATGTCATCAAGTAAAAAATCTGTTCATTTGAATTTAGCAAAATAAGAGTATAATTATAAACTTTGCTAACTTAAAGAGAAACACGGTTCACTATACAGTTTGCTATTGTATTCAACACTTTTTTGTACCATAGATACTTAAATGCTTACTGAACATGCATTCAATTCCTTAATGTTAAATGAAAGACAGAGGATTTATTATTGCCTTTGCACTAATGATCACCATTTGTATATATGGGATGTGTATTGTTTTCGTTGTGTTTTTTTCATCATTTCTTGCTATTAACAATTGTGCATGGCCATTGTCGTTTTACTTTACTTTAAATAAAAACTACCGAATATATATATAAAAAATATCACACTCTGCGACACATGCATCATAAAAATAATTGTTAACAAACAATGACCTTCTATATGGAAATATACAATCATTTACATGTGTAATGTATGTCCTGTATTATAGTTTGTATATAATATAAAAAAATAACAGTTATATGTCAGTTACTTATTGAATTTATTGTTAATATATTGATGTGAATAATTATGCCATACTTTTGCCATGTATGTAAATCTTTTCACTGTAACAACGTATTGGCGAACCTGTATATATGTTTGTGCAAAATATACCACGGAAATTATAGTTTTAATAAAAAAAGTGTCCTTGTTATTGTTCATACTAGTTAATTAGTCGCTGTCTTCCTGTAACCAGACTGGAATATAATTTTAATAAAACATTGTTCTTATTCATATTAATAATCATCTGTCACTGTCAGCCAGTGACCACGTGCACGTGACCATAAATCAATGGAATATAGTTTTATAACCATTTTGTAACTATATGGAAGTTTTATTGTTGATGATTTTATTAAAATAAATTGCAGAAATAAACGATTTCTTAACTTTGTTATTGATAGGAAGGGTATTGTTATTTCATTTGGTATTATCCTGCAATTTTAAACTTATGAAAAGCGTTCGTCTGCAATAATGAATATAAATTAAATAAAAAATATGTCTGTGTTCTACGACATCGAATTAACACACTTTACATAGGAAAGATAACCCACCATCTGTTTGGCACGTATTTTTCTAAGCGGTTACTTCCCTCTTAAATGTTTAAATCGAACATTGTACCATTGGGCTAGGATAATGCGGGGTGTGTACGAGCTACGGACAGGAATATAATCACGAAGTTTAATATAATATTGAAATCATATAAAAAAGTATAACAGACTTAACAGTGCATTAAAGTAAAATATCGGTTAATTCAGAATGGGCGTCTACAGTTACTTGAGAAGGGCCTACTTACTACATTCCTATTTATATATAAAACATGAAAACTATCAATTTAAAACTTGGAGAATGAGCACATGAGGTTAAAACTGTACCTGGTTTGTTTATTTCTTGTTAAGATAAATGTAGTCAATACCTTATGGGTTCAAGATTGCTTCATCTGAGAATAATCACGTTCAAGTTCAGTGGGCCGATCTTGTACTACGCAACTATGACGTTGAGGCCATGTCAGGAAGTACCCCGATTGGACCATTAACTTGTTAAATGGGTTATCAAAAAATAAGGTTTAACAAGCTTTAAAGATCGATTTTTTTTCAAATGAATTCTAATTCTTTGAAACATGCTATTATTTAATCAGCAACAACTTGTCGCTTGCTTTCTATCCCGTTTATTCAGCGTAATATATTCCCATTATGTAAAGATTTAAAACAAAATGAAACCATCAGGTAGGTAAGTATTTGTTAATTCAGCCAGACAGATTTAAAAATGAACTTTCATATACAGGTCCGGCTGGGCACATAGATAAACAGGCTCAGCCATGCACTTAGATATACAGACCCAGTCGTTCACTTAGATATACAGACCCAGTCATGCACTTAGATAAACAGACGCAGTCGTGCACTTAGATATACAGGCGCAGTCATGCACTTAGATATACAGACCCAGTCATGCACTTAGATAAACAGTCCCAGACAGGCACTTAGATATACAGACCCAGTCATGCACTTAGATATACAGGCCCATCCATGCACTTAGATATACAGGCCCAGCCATGCACTTAGCTATACAGGCCCAGCCATGCAATTAGATATACAGACCCAGCGATGTACTTAGATACACAGGACCCGCCATGCACTTAGATATACAGACCCAGTCATGCACATAGATTTACAGACCCAGTCATGCACTTAGATATACAGACCCAGTCGTGCACTTAGATATACAGGCCCAGCTATGCACTTCGATATACAGACCCAGTCGTTCACTTAGATATACAGACCCAGTCATGCACTTAGATAAACAGACCCAGTCGTGCACTTAGATATACAGGCCCAGCTATGCACTTAGATATACAGACCCAGCCATGCACTTAGATATACAGGTCCAGCCATGCACTTAGATATAAAGACCAAGCGATGTACTTAGATATACAGGCCCAGCCATGCACTTAGATATACAGACCCAGCCATGTACTTAGATATACAGGCGCAGCGATATACTTAGATATACAGACCCAGCCATGCACTTAGATATTAAGGCCCAGCCATGCACTTAGATATACAGGCCATGCCATGCACTTAGATATACAGACCCAGTCATGCACTTATATATACAGGCCATGCCATGCACTTAGATATACCGGCCCAGCCATGCACTTAGATATACAGGCCCAGCCATGCAGTAAAATATACATGCCCAGTCATGTAGTTAGATACAAAGGCCCAGTCATGCACTAAGATATACAGACCCAGTCATGCACTAAGATATACAGGCCCAGTCATGCAGTTAGATATACAGGCCCAGTCATGCAGTAAGATATACATGCCCTAAGATATACAGTCCCAGTCGTGCACTTTAATATACGGCCCAGTCATGCTCTTAGATATCAAGGCCTAGTCAAGCAATAAGATTTCAGAACGATTCGGTAACACGTGCTGTGTCAAGGAATAAACCAATGACGAACGGTGACGTATGCTTAACAGTAAATGCTGGAACTCTTTTCTAGTATCATTACGCCTGTTTTCTTTTTTTTTTATTTGTTGTTTTTTTACATTTGCAAATTGTTAAAAACGCATTTATCTGTTTAACACTTTGACACTATAGAGGTCATTAGAAGGTAAATATGTTCATTTTCTGTACTAAAAGTTCGGCACATGAAAATAACTGATAACGTGTTATATATTGTAAGGGAGCTTATCACAATGTCCTTTATGCCTCTTACTATCTTTTAAAGATTTACTTAAAGCTTGACTATAGCTTCTATTTTCATTAACAAACCTGATACTTTCTGTGTTTCAAATATTCATTTTCTTCTGCTGTATGCTTATTTCAAATTATTACAGATTATCGAATTCTTTGTTTGTGTGGTGTTTTTCTTCAACTCCTTTTTCATCTTTTTTTATCTTGTTTCGTGTGTTTGAGTTTAAATTAGATTATTTTGTTTTGTTTGTTAGTTTTTTTTTCCTTATTTTTTCTTTTATATTTTATAATAATTGTAAAAATACTTTGAATTAATCATGTAGATATTTATATGAAAAATAAATCTGATGTTTATTATAATAATAAATAAATATGCACATTCATCTTAATTTCACATTTACATTTTTTTTAACAGACGGGCCTCATTTTGTCACGTGACTAGATTACCATGTTTTTTTCCATTTATATTTTTCTTTGAGAAATAACTATATTTCTAATTGTTTCTAAAAACTTCATCAAATATTTACAACTGATCACAAATTTTCTCTGTGCATACCATATAAAATATGATAAAGTTACTAATAGAAAATAAAGTGCATACCCAGAATGAATACAAGAATGACTGCATTATTTTGTTCTTGTTTTATTTATTTATTTATTTATTTATTTATTTATTTTAAAATATAAAGAAAACACAAAAACGCACGTACGCACGCACGCGCACACACACACGCACACACGTTTTCTTTTGTTAAACTATAAAACTCATGTTGTATTTTGTTGTACTATAAAAACTAATGCTTGTACTATTCTAATTACGTTTATTTTTGAAATCAAAGAGAGGAAGTATACTTTAGAGATTTAAATCATCTAGGATAGTCAATAATTGATGTATTATTAATATCTGCCGCCGCTTATATCATATCTCCAACCACCCATTAAACACACTTAACCTTTGTAAAATTTAAATTTTGAAATATTAATGAAAAAGTTTCTGAAAATAAAATTTCTATAGCAGCCATCAATAATCGTATAGGATATTGGTAATTTTGCAAAGCTACAAAAAAATCACGGAATGTTTAATTAATGACCGTGACAATATGAACGGAAAAGACACGCACATAAGTTATTCAGTAAATCAGTGTTTGGAACGCGAGATCGATTAACGTTTTCAAAAATCAAAAGCATGCCTGGCTTTGGTGACACTGAGTTATATGATAAGGCAGACAGATTTACGGGCAAAGACTTGCAAATTATTCATGTACTAACATTCTATTACTGTATGATGGTGTAACGGTCCGTACTTAAAGTCTTTGACAACCTACTTTCCCCCCAGAACACTCTGATGATTATGCCTAAAAATGACTTTGCAATTATAACTTTCCGTGTGAGTTAACAACAGCGGCAATTAATTTGAAAAGCCGGGACATTATGTTTTGTTAAGCATGTCGTAACTCTTGCTGTAAGTGGTAGAGTTATGCTTAGATGATAACGTTGATGAATGTTTAAAGCTCTATTGTTTTGTATTCTTTAACGGAGAAGTGAATATATTTTGACAAAAATTCTGATTTACAGACACGTATTTCACGTATTTTTGCAGTGTCATAAATTCTAAACTTCAGGAACCATGCATGAATGCAACTCAAATACTGTCTCACTAATTGTTTCGGGATAACTGTTTGACATACGTACAGAAGGGATCTCTGAGGGCATAAAAAACAATAAACCTGCAACTGTGTAACCACAAACAATGCAAGGTTTTAATTTATCCTGTATCTAACGTCATATAGTACAGTCATGCTATGAATACCCGATGTTCCTTAAACAATGAAAGTGTACTTAAATTCATATTATTTAATTATTGCTGCAAATGTTAAAATAGTACATAAAATGAAGAAGAAATTATGACGGCTTTTTGCGCACATTATGTGAATTTAACTCGTATACATGACAACAGTATTTTCAATATTTATGGTCTAAATACTAAAAGGAAATTGTTTTACTTGGTTTTTGTTACAATATTTGTCCGTATTTTATTACAACAGACAATATTGCAATCTGAACTCGTCCTCACTTCAAAATGCGTATCGAGGAACGGCTTTCGGACAGTGATTATCCCTGGAGTGATTGAAATTAGCATGAACAGAAATCAAGAATTACTGTAATGGAGTTTCGCGCGCCTGTCGTAAAAATCACGGAGAGGGTGAAAACCTTTTAAATCTCGACCTCAATCTTAAACAGGCCGTCAAAAACGCGTTTTCAATAGCCTGTTCTCACACTAGAGCTGCATTAATCATTTATACATTTTAAGGGGGATGTAGCTATTAAGATCGGACAATTGGATTTTGTAATGTTTAAACATACAGGAAACAGTGAAACTTTAATGTCTTCCATCACCACACGTATGTCTGTAATATGATAAAATATATTTATTCCTTTTACTTGCAGACATTTTTGAGTACACCTTAATCATACGTCTGTTTGCCGCCTTTTTCGGATCATAAAAGATTCATAGTTTTCTAAACATTTTATACTTATGTTTAAACAATATAACACATTTACAGGGGGAGTGGAGCAATAACAAATGTTTTATTTCATCTCTTATAGAAATTTGATACAGTTATTCTAAAGTGCGTATAAATCATGATTCTGAAATTAGAGCGAATGGTTCCAAAATGTCAACGCAATCATGACGTCAGATGAATATTCTAAAATGCAAAATACGCCGTTACATTCTCTTTGAAATGTCTCTGAGATTTCGTCAGTAATCATTTTACACCTTTCATGAATTTAATAACTTAGTACATAGCATTTAACTTCCTTTAACACTAGTATGTTAAAACTATTCACAGGGAGCTGTTTAGAGACTTATTTTGAATGACAATCTGTTTATGACTGACATTGCCGGGTAAGAAAATTCGTTTTTCAAATTTAAATGTATTCGTATATTCTAATTCATGTTAGTTTTTGTTGGATCCAAATTGCCTCTTTTTTACACATGTAAACGGATACAATTTTTTGAAGAGATATTAAACATTTAAAATGTTAAGAAAGTAACCAAACCGTACACATGTCGGTTGTTCAGTATTGCACTGAGTTAAATAGTAAAAATATGGCGTATATGTCAGTATTATGGAATACATAAGAGAACGTGATGTAAAGTATGAGAGACAAGCGGATATGTTCGTATTGTTAATTGCTGTTCAGTAATATCTATCATAGATCTTGGACTTTTTTGCTATTCCTTTACTTTAACATATATGCTCTGTCCAGTGTTTATATACTTTTATCTTAATTGAATCTATGAGCAAGATTCCACTATGTCACTTTTTAGGTGTTTTTTTTCTTCAGCATCTACCAGACACACGATGTCTTCAACATCTTCCCGACTCACGGTGTTTTCTTAGCTCAAGTTTTCGTTGAAAAGTTCTGCCACACTTGTCGCAGTTGAAAGGTGTATATCCCGTGTGTTTGCGGCTATGAGTGATCAGGTTGGAGGACTGACTAAATCTTTTATCGCATACTGTACACCGATGTGGTTTCTCACCTGTACACAAAAAATCAAAACCCAATAAGTAACATCACTCTGTAAAGTCACACGTATTTTGAAGCTAAGCTAAGCTCGCAATGTGTTATAATTTTTATAAAGTAGTTTTAATATATAGTGTTTCTTTCAAATCATCTTTTATTGCGGAATGTTACAAATAAGAAAGTTCATGATAGAAAATACTGTCCAAGTTAAAGTTGGAAAAAAGTCATTTAAGAATCAGCTCGCAAACATTGAACGTTAATGTTTGGGACTAGGGGTCACTTTAATTATATGAGATCCATAGAATCGTGCATCATAACTTACTTTACTCAGACATAATGGTAAAAGTTCAACGAGTAAAGGAATCATATTGTATGTTTAAAAACAAAGTTTCGTATTAAGTATGCTAAATACGTTCAGTCAATGCGCGGCTTACACCATACAACTTAATTTTAGCGGTTCCATAAAAACATAATAGTATCCGCTCAGGAGGTCACTATATTTTTTGTCGGACCGCTGACGTTATTGTGAATCTTGTATTAATATCAGGTGAAATATTAGGAAAATGACGTTGATTTTATGTAATGATTGACAACTTATAAATACTTACCAGTATGTATATATGTATGTTTCTTCATATCTGATTTCTGGTGAAATCTTTTCCCGCAAAACCCACAGGGATAGGGTCTTGTATCACTGTGAATCAAAAGGTGCGTGTTCAGTGTCGACGACCGCTTGAATGTTTTTCCGCACTCGTGACACCGAAATATCTTGCCGGTGTTATCGTAAAGAGTTTTATTTGTGTAATTTCCATTTAAATACATCTGCGTGAAGTTTCTGGCTGTGCTGTGTAAATTCTTGATGGATTGTCCTTCCGGTTCCCTGCTCATTGTCTGTGAGTAGTCTTTATATCTATCCATAGTAATTATTTGCTTCTCGCATATTTCACTTGGTGATAGTTGGTTATTTCTTGTTGGGTCATTTCTTGTTGCGTCATTTCTTGTTGTGTTATTTCTTGTTGGGTTCTCGGGGATAGTTTTCAAATCAAGAGGGGAGTCTGCGCGGTTATCCATGTTTTCAGTCATGGCGTAGCCAGAACAAAACGAATAGTGAGACATGTAACTGTCTGCCTGTAGATAATTGCCATACTTTAAAGTGTTGTTATTTTGCTCAGGAAGCGGTTGTTCTTTATCTGGCAGGGACGTTTCAAAGTAGTTCATGGATTTTGGCCATTCTGGCGGGAAAATGTCAATGTCTACGTTCTCTTCAAAAACCGACTTCCCAAGATTAAACGGATATCCTAAAAGATAAAAAAAAATCATTCCAAGTACGAAAGATATGAAAAGATGTGTATAGAATATAGCGGACATAGGATGCATCTACTGAAGACTTCGGAAATTTAAGGCGGCATGTATTTTAATACACAGCTAGAGTGAATATAAGAAATATAAGAATAGTAGGAAATGTTGATAATAATAATAATAATAATAATAATAATAATAATAATAATAATAATAATAATAATAATGATAATGATGATGACTTTTTTTAACGAAGAAACTCATTTGAACAACATATCAATCTTCCATGAGGCCCTAAACAAGAAACAATACAAATTTAGAATGTACCAATGCGCCAATTTTATTAAAGTGGTTTACAATGATGCACAATGAGTGAACTATTTTATATACATGTAGTTTATATATCCAGTTAAATAATATAAGTATTTCACACTTATCAAAGATAAAAGTTTAAAACATTTAGATTATCATAATGAGTCTTGAGACAAGTGATTACTTTACATAAAGCTACACATTTCATGCTTTACATTTGAGCCGTGTCACGACAAAACCAACATAATGCGTTTGCGACCAGCATGGATCCAGACCAGCCTGCGCTAACGCGCAGTCTGATCAGGATCCATGCTGTTCGGTTACAAACCCTATAACAAGTAGAGAAACTGATAGCGAACAGTATGGTTCCTGATCAGACTGCGCGGATGCGCAGGCTGGTCTGGAACCATGCTGGTCGCAAACCCACTATGTTGGTTTTGTCATGACACGGCTCATTTTATTTTAGTGTTTTGTACAGTATCAACTATATTGTCTTGTAATTTAATTGGAAATTGTGTCACTTGAATTAATTATAACCGGAAGTTATAAAAAAAAGTTATGTAAATAACAAATATCGTATATATTGTTCAGATTTTGATACAGATTATATATACGTGTATGTATCTAACATAATATTTAGTTTTTACATTGTAATTGCATCAGTATTGAATGTTGCTCAACAAAAGGCTTTTAATTGGCAGCTTATATGGTTCAATTATCAAATAAAATATTGCATGATTTATTGTATAATTTACCATGAATAAAATATGTTTTGAATTATTTCCCATTCTATTAGAATACATGTATAACATTTAACATGTATTTTGTTGTATATAGCATCTTGCCCTCAAATATAACTTTCCTTCTTTAACTAGAATTTCAAACTATAGCCTCTTGCCCATTAATGTTTATGTTCATGTGAAGAACACGCGTATTCGTAAACTTTTATTTAATAATTCTTCTTAATTGTGTAATATTTCTTTCCGTATTAATTTTCAGAAAGTCGCATTTTTTAAGGAATACGACCCTAGTCTAAATATAGATCATCAACAGTGATTTTATTGCATATTTACACACACTTTTGGTCCTTCTATGTTCAACAGGAAATATTTTGGTCGTGTTAGAGTGAATGGTTGGTCGTGTTAGAGTGAATGGTTATGAATTCACATAATTATACTTTTTACCGATGCTCATTTCTAGGATGCATGTGGGGTTCCACCCCGTGTAGTATGTATACTGCCATATTTGTAATTGTACAGTACATTTTGCCACATGGGTCGTTGACCTTCTGGTTTAATATAAATAAAACTTGTAAAACTTGTCATACTTGCATCAAAACTGCACACGCAAGTATACATAAAGGGAGAAAAATAACATGCATTAACGGATAAAATCACACGAACACGCGCCGTTTTTAGATGTCCTTTTAGTATGAGGGCTGGTTTGTGCCATTCGTGTTTCCGCCCCGAGACCCCGCCAAGCGAAAAGTCGAGAATTAACAAATTAAAATGGCGGGGACACGGAGCTTATTAGCGGGAGAGCGGGGCGAAGTTTGATAATAAACTTCGCCCCGCGGGAGCGCGGAGCAATATTTAAGAAGCGCGGAGTGAAAACACGCTAATAAGCGGGAGCTCGGGGCGAAGTTTAATAAAATAAAAATTCGCCCGCGCCCCCGCCTATTAGCGTGACCCCGCCAAGCGAAAAGTCGAAAATAAACAAGTTAAAATGGCGGAGTCGCGGGGCGAATAGCACAAATCAACCACCATATTTGTGACTCAGACTGACTGCGATGACGGTCCTGGTAATGTCATTGTCTAAACATTGTCAATTGCATTGCACTCGCGTGTGACCGGTTTCTTTGTACAAACAACAAAACGCTTATGCTCGGATGTTGAAATACGTCACCGTGCTTCTGCAGATGAAAAATGAACGAAAAAGGGTACATTTACCAACTATTGTATTGTATTGTATCGTATCGTATCGTATCGTATCGTATCGTATCGTATCGTATCGTATCGTATTGCATTGTATTGTATTGCATTGAAATGTTGTGTAATGTACTGACATTGTATTGTTATCTTTTGTTATGTGCTGTTATTGAATTGTATTGTATTGCATTGTATTGTATTGCATTGTTATGCATTGTAATTTATAAGAATGTTTCGTAATGTATTGTAATGCGCTGTAATTTGTTGTTATGTAATGTAAATAGTAATGTGTGTATTATTATGCATTGTAATTTAAAATTATAGGTTGTAATGTAAGGTAATAAGTTGTAATGTTTTATAATATGTTAAGGTGCGTTGTATTTGTTGCAATATCTTGTAATACGTTGTAATGTATTGCTATATAGTTTAATGTAACGAGTGCTGATATGTTGTTATGTGTCATAATGCGCTGATGTATATTGTATTGCATTGTGTTGTGTTGTTATTTATTATGACATGCATTCTACTGAAAAATCAAACGCCAATATAAATATATCACGTGTAACCAATTTATATCGGATACACTCAGTAAATATCATTTCAATATTTTTGTACCTTTTCTAAAATTATCTTTTTCTTTGTTTTTAATGTTGTTGTTGTTGCTGCTGCTGTTGTAATGTCTTGCCCTCGTACAAAGTATTATCATCATATGTTAAAATATATTAACTAAGATAGCGATAATAAACATTCTCGTTCAACGTATTCAGTTATATTCTTAACAAGTATTACTGTCCCATCTTTTTTATTATCTCTTTAATTCAAGCATCAATTTAATTCTTTATATCAACGATTATGTCCCAAGCTCTACTTTCTTAATGTTACTAAAATCTTTTCTCGCCAACCAGATCACTAATGCTGTACACTGATTTATATTCAATCTACGGAAAAATGATTATTTTGCGATAACTTTCCCCAAACCTCATAAATTTAAAGCCACAAACAACTAGAAAATGAGATTTTTATGTATGCAAATAAAGAAACCGTACATTCTTATTGAAAATAATTGTTCCCACGAGATCTGCACGTGTCCGTTTAACAATAACGTGTTATTTATATTTCCATGTCTGTTTACAAATCATATTCATAATTCAACATTGTTATAGTGCTTATACGCGTATTTAAACTTTCAGGGAGAAAATTTCTTGCTAGAATTTTATAAAATTTGAAAACGAAATAGGTGGAAGAATCTGATTCAAACATTTTTGAGTTTTTAAAAGTAAGAGATAAACACAAAATTATATTGGGGTTGAAGTTTTGTATTAAGGTAATTCAAAAATCGCAATCCGTTATTATATGGGTATTTCTTAAAATAGTTAAAATAATTTTACTTTTTAGAAAAAGATGTAGGGGCTGTTACCAAAGTTTCATTTTATAGTTCCATTTTCCTTATACGTGTATTTTACAATGCTCGTGGTCGTAATTTAAAAACGAATTGTCCAAAGTCTTTTCTATTCATTAAATAACTTTAGGGGTATATTAAATGATAAATGAAAATCTTAGAATGCTTAATATTACCAATGAATGTGTAGAAACAAAAGTTTTTGAGTTGCTGATAAAATTGGTCATAAAAATGCATCGTATAACGTGAAATATTAATTTTGCAAACAACAAAATTTAAATAACAACTGGATTATCTGAAATCAATTAGAATACAATTAGATATATTTACTTGGAATATTATAACACAATTACAAACATTAATCTGCTCAAATCATTAGATATTTTGAATACAGAAAAAAATATCTAAATTTCAGTCTCGAATTTAAAAGAAAGCGATATAAAATAGTTTGCTGAGTTACTTTCGCATATTTTTGTTTCTTATATTAGTATTTTATTAGTTTATTGTCTCATTAATGTAACCATATAAAATATCACAGTATATAAATCTACATATCAGTAAAACATAGCCACTATATACAGAGTTATAAGAGACGTTCATGTCATGTACATGTATAATAAAAACAATTTAAAAGAACATATTATACATGATTAATCTTGACAGTAAAATTACCACTACTGACCTTAAATAAAAAAAAGTCTTTAAAATGTAATAATAACAAAAAGAACTCGAAACATTGTAATAATAATAAAAAAAAGTTTCTAATGGTACTAATGCCAGTATGATCAATACCTTAGAAGTTGTATGACCCTAGATGAGCTGGTCAATTCGTTTTACATAAAATATTAAATCATTACTGTCAATTGTGATATTCTTCACAAGAATAAAAGATTTATACCATCAAATTTATATTTCACATAACAGTAATAGGTTACTAGTGAAGTATGAAAGCGTCTTATCAGTTTCAATTGCTAAATATATGTGAAACATACTCTATAGGACCTGTTATATATATGTGAGGGCGTGAAATGAATCTTAAGTTATACAAAAATTTATTCAGAATCAAAACTATTATTTTTACTATATATGAATAAGCAATTAAACCTTTAACTTTACTAAAGAACGAGTTGCATAAAATAAACTAACATCTTTTACTACGATAAATGTTTCATTCCTATCTAAAGTAAAAAAAAATGTCAGAAATACTTGGTTTATACAAATTTATTTTAGTTCGATTGTGTTGGAAGCTATAAGCTTATTGAAACACTCTCGAATCCGTTCCTGGAACCAACCAGTACTAAGCAATGAATGTAAAGTTGACAGAAATACTTGAAACGAAACAGTTAAACACAACGCAGATTTTTGTTTCTTGTTTAATAAAATCATTTCAGGTAAAATTTATACCAAAAAAAAAGATTGCAAAATATTAAATAATGATTAAATGAAAAAAATATTTTTCAATACGGAATATTTTATCATCATAATCATAATTATTACAATCATTATTAATTGTTCATTAAACTAACTTAAAAAAAAATCGGTTAAAAAGAGACTCACCTATCTGCGGCATGCAGTCCGGATATTTTCGTTCCGTTACACTTTGACAACGTCGACATTTTTTATGTCTCACCATGAAAGATCTCGGCATTGTTTCATGAAAGATGCTTCTTCTATCACACAAAAACAACCTTATTTTTCCCCAGAAATGATATCCTAAATTTTATATTTTTCCTTATTGCGCGTATTTTCGGTTTTGTCTTTCACATTTAATACTCTCCTTATAAGTGATTTCAAATTTCATTGAAAAGATTATAGCATAGAAAAAAATATAAAAAAATGCCGCCGTCTCTTATGTCATTATATATATAAATATATATTAAAGAAAAGAATTCCAGAGTTGCATTGGTGAAAGGCGCGGCAAAAAGGTTTATCCTTTTATTATATAGAATTCCATAAAAACTGTTAAATATTCATGAATTGGTACCGGTCTGCAATAAGTCGATGAAAAATCAATGCCTCGCAGTGACTTGATGTGAACAATGTTCCCTTAACCATTGCCTTCTCCTGTCCTGTAAGTTTTAACTATTAAAGCGTGTATTTTAAATAGACCTCTTAACAATACTTCCGAGATTTATTCTCCTTAGGGGCCCAGAGTCATATTCACATTATCAAGGTTATCAAACGATTTTTTTCGTTCCGTTTAGTTGTTACAGACGATATATTATGCAATTACTTAGTACAAAATATGAATTAGCCACGTAAATTTAATACTTCTAACAAGTTATCGTTAGTTTTACTGCATAAAAGATGAGGGTATTTCTAAGCCACTGACTTTCATATAAGAGACAACATTTTACATCCACGAGCATTGATTGATGTAACAGTTTTGTTTAATAATTTAATCTTGAAATTAGTTTTTTTAAACAGTTATTTCTTTGTGATCTTTCATCAAAATGGAATATTCAACATTTATGTTAAACATGGCAATTACAGTAAAATTTAAAAGTATTGGAACGTCGGAAATTGGATTAATATGAACTCTTATAACTTTGATCGATGTATTAACACCTTTTTAATTATGTTTCTACAAAATCTGAAAGGCCCTGCTCTTGTCACAAATACAGTATGTGTATATATCACAGAAAACAACATATTTTGCACTCGAAATGTCAGAAAGTTTAACATTTCAATCGGTGGCCTTGTGATCAGCAGGTCAACGTCCAAAACTAAGCATGTCTTCTGAAACCGGGTAAACGTAACTCAATACATTCATCTAAATTACCGAAACTACAGACTACTGTAACAGGTATTTCCAAAACTGCTTTGTGCACTTGGTCAGAACCGCTCTGCTATTTCTATTGCGTTAATGCGTTATATTGATGCAAAAGATTTACGCTCGTTTGAGCTCCGATTGACTTACAATTAAAAATACAAACAACAGTCACAATGACAAACAGCATACAAACTTTATCATTAGTATCTACAAGCACTTTAAAATGCCTTTGAACATTTAGATTTTGCATTTTAGTAGGTCGGCAATATTCTACAAACACAAAATTAAAATTCAACTTTTGATTAAAAATGCATAGCTTACGTTTTGCTTTGAATATAATTAGCTGCATGAATAATCACGTGACGAGGATGTTTACTTAGAATTAATATGGTTCTTTTTTTACAGCTGTTTGAAATTAACCCAAAGTTGCTTGTAAAAGTGATATCATGTGCTGGACTAACAATATATTTCAAAAGAATGACCAATACCCATTATTGTACTCGTAAATATTAGGATAATATTTTAAAACTTCCATGGATATATATAAAAAACGGCTGTTCCACTCTTTTATCATTTTAACTTTTCCGTAAAAATAATCTGAAGGATATCATTTGAAATTTATTCTGGTCACAACGGTCATTATTTGTTTTGCGAAGTAGATTATTTAATTGAAAACAAATTAAAAATGTAGAGTTATTTTGACTTATGATTTACATTTTGTTGGGCATAATGTCACTTCAACAATAAGAGCAAATACTACCAACATTTTCAGTTTACTGAAAATATATCATTTCTATAAAACCATGGATTCAGTGAATTAATTAAAATTCTAAAAATTTTCTCGAACAGATTTTGTATGACGTTGTAAAAATCATCTATTGTGTGTTTGTTAGTTCTGTAATACAAAGTTTAAGGTGACAGATTTTTATATCTGGTAATGTAAATCGGTCCGAGTAGTCACGATCTCGTGCAAAGATGGTCATCCAGTTTTACAAATATACAAAATGATCCCAAACAATATTTAAGTGCAAAGAGAAATAACCCTCAATGTTTCATCAACGATCTGCTAACATGATGGTGTTTTAGGAGTTTTAGACATTATAATGCTACTTAAATTTTGAAGATTACAGAGTAATACATGAAAATCATAGAAACAACTGATATACATATTTTGTTTTACAAAATTAATTTGAATAAACATTTAAATACCATAACAATAGCAGTTATTCAGGCGCACACGTACACACGTACACACACACATATTAAGTAAACATATCTGTTGGTAAAATAAAGATATATAAACGGATTTATATTTAAAGAAAAAATGAAAATCCTTTAATTGAGTGATAACTTAATAAAGTTAAATAAATATTAATCGTTATTTTCAACTGAATTGCATCGAAAGGCCTGACGCACTTTTATTTAAGAAATATGCAATCATATAACACGTGGTTTGACAAACTATGATATACCTAAATTGTTTAAATTACAATAAGGTTCCAAATCATTTATTAGTGCTATCACGTACATATTCATTTACGATAACAAATACGATATAAATTACAATAAAACAATAAGATGCACTTTCATTAATAACATTTGGTAAATTGAATTCGCATATCTTCATTTCCCAATGATCAAATGCGCATGCCTGGGTGGTCCTTCTTGTCATTTAGAAGTTCCTCTAATCTGTTTAACTCTTCTACCAGAAACTTGATATATAGATCTCCATATTTCAGCACTAAGTTACTTGTAATAACTGATTCATATCAATCAATTTATGTTCCGAAAACAAAACGCAGCGAACACAGTTCGGCCATAAAAACTGCAGATAAGTTTCTTTGCCGCAGCAGTGTCTTTGAACAGAGCCAGATCTGCAGTGTGTGTGTCTTTATCATTGATATAACGGCTGCAAACAGTTAATTTATATGCCAAGATCGGCCAAATATAGAAATAGTTATGAAGAATATTATAGTATCTAACTGTATGCTGAAAAACACCATCTCTAAATGTTATGGAAATAATTTTCACTTGAATAATAATACGAAAAATATGTATCAACCAATTCAAGAATATTTAACCAAAGCGTTAGGCGTTTGTAGGACGAATTAAATTTTATAGAGGACACAAGTGCATGGTGTTTGATAAACTCCTGTAAATTGTCTTTTTTCTGGTGGATGCAGTTGAAGTAAAAGAAAGACATCTAAGTAAATAAGTATTTTAGAAAGTCATTGGTTCAAGTCCCTATTTGGCTGTACGCTGTCTCTCAATTACTTTTTTAATGTCTTTAATTTATTCTTTATATCTGATGAAAAAATTTTAATACCAATAATTGATATGTGATTTTTGTAACGATTTAGAAGTATCATAAAATGAACTTTATACGATGTACTTAGACATGAACATATACAATGTTTTATCAAAGTACTACCAAGTTTATAAACGTGTTGAATTGCGATTATCAGATACTTGTACAAAAGCTTGGAACAGTCATCAAAAATTGTAACAAAGTATTATGTCATTATAGTTAAGGGATAGTAAATAATTTAAGATTAAAATTAGGTAGTTAAAATGAATGGTTATCGATTTCTATCCGCCTGGCGCCTGGCATAGTGGTAGAAGTTGGGAGGTACATGGTATGTAAGCAAAAGGTGTCACATAAGTCAAAATGGCTGGCCCTTTCAATAGGGGTGACACTATAATAAACAATACCTTTATATTCAACAGAATACAATGTAATATCTAATGGTCACTGAATAATATTTAACACAATGTTTGAAATTTTGTAGCTTGTATCAGCAGCTGTTAGATTTGCATAGCACTGTGCATGGAAGATCAGCTTTTAGCACATTTACTTCCTCCAGAAGCTGTCATAGAAATAATGGATCAGCTTTTTTATCTTGACCAAGATTTGTAACGAGTTTATGTTTTGGCTTATATCGAAATCAAAGGGTTCTATGGTGCCAAATTCAACAACTGGCCAACTTCACAGGTTTTTGAAATTAAAAGAAATTCAAGTTGATTGCCTCCAGGTGAGCTTAAATATTTTTAAGGAAAATCAACTTCAAAAGAAATATTTTAAAGATTTTAGAAAGGTTGATCTATTCACAATTCCAGAAATAGATTAAAGCAGTATGCAATTAATCCCTGATTTTACAGTATTTTTTCACCGTATTTGTAAGTGCTATACATGTATTTGCATTTTCTGACCTACTTAATAAATTTTAAGTATTGTTTGAAAGTATAATTTCCTTTTTTTTGTTCACTTGACAGTATTTTACTTTTTAATGAATTTTAACATTTTCCTGAAAATTAGCATGAATTTGGAAGCATGCAGCTCCTAAGCTTACTTAAATTAAGCTGGACAATGACACTTTATTAATTTATGACTGTGTGTTTGGGTTAAATGGCACATTGGCACACAACTGGCCATACCGTGCCGAACACTACATGAATAGTAATTTATTTGTTCATATAAGAATATCAAAGATGAAAAAGAAAATAATAAAAATTAAAAAAAACATAAAAAGGGTTAAAAAGGAGTTAATAACTTTTATAATACAGGCTTATATCTCTTAAGTAGTCGATCAATGTTAAGGAAGGAAATGGGTCAAAAAGTTGTGAAGGTGAATTTAATCGGTAATATCTATGATGAACATGTGCAAGATCATAGCATTCAGTATAATGGCTTGTTAAAAGATGAGAATGTGTAACTCTATTGTGTCATGTTGAACATCTCAGAAGACCAACCTGATCATGATGGAGACAGAGATGGTGACACGTTAAGTCAGGGGTTTATATCATTTGTTCCAATTTGATTTCCATTCAGATGATATAAGTTTTTAATATGAAGGTTAAAAGTTTGGTAACAGTAAAGGTTGAGTTTTTAAGGTTCCTTTAGACAAACTTTTCATATCCTTGTAGTCCTTCGTGGCCTAGGATCCAACATAATTTTACTGCCTTGGCTTTAAATATATCATGAAATCACAACAAGAGCTTAGAGATAATATTATCAAATTTTCTATTTTGATTGATATAAAATAGCACATAGAGTGAATCTGAAAAATGTTACAAATTATTATGTTGTAAAATGTTTGACAAGGCTAAATCAAAAGCTTTTGTTTCAGCAGTAAATATAAATACATTTTCAGGTAGTCTCATCCACAATGTAAAATGATTTTTTATAGACAACTGCACCTTCTTTAAAACAATCTTTGGAATCGTCTGTTTAAATATGAATAAAATCTAGATGTTCTTTGAAGTTTGAAAAATGTTCTTAAATAAAATCAGGAGAAATGGATGACTTTTTTAAATTTGAAAGACTAATTTGAACTTCTGGAGAATTTAAGTCCACAGAGAAA